AGATGTGCATAAGAGACAGCATTTATTCATTCATTTATTCATTCATTCATTCATTCACTCATTCATTCAGTTTGTCAATTAGTCAATAATTCAGTAGTCAGTCGGTTAGTCATTCAGTCAGTCAGTCAGTCAGTCATTCATTCATTCATTCATTCATTCAGTTAGTCAATTAGTCAATAATTCAGTAGTCAGTCGGTTAGTCATTCAGTCAGTCAGTCAGTCAGTCAGTCAGTCAGTCAGTCAGTCAGTCATTCAGTCATTCAGTCATTCAGTCAGTCAGTCAGTCAGTCATTCATTCATTCAGTCATTCAGTCATTCAGTCATTCAGTCAGTCAGTCAGTCAGTCAGTTAGTCATTCATTCATTCATTCATTCATTCATTCATTCATTCATTCAGTTAGTCAGTCAGCAGTCAGTCTGTCAGTCGAGTGAATTAGTCATTCAGTCAGTGGCGTATCTAAGGGGTGCACGGGGCAAAAAAAAAGCTCAATTAGTTAAAAATCACCTCAAATCATCTAATTTTGCTAGCTAGCCCCCCACCCCCACCACTTAATCAATAAGTCTTCCTACTTAACACTCGCGCCCCCATCAGTCAGTCAGTCGAACTATACCTTCTCTTTGAAACGATATTTGTGTACTATATACATATGAATGAATACAATTATGGCTAACATTTCAGGCATACTACTCTAACGCAGAAAAAAAAATTAGAATTAAAAAATAATAGATTAAAACTCAATCTATTTTTGTTGCAGTTAAAATGTATGTAAAGCAGTTTTTTACAAGAAGTATGTGCATTTTTACAACTGTATTTGATAGCCTTGGTTCGATAATATTTTTGATATGCAGCAACTGAAATGTATCGTTCACATATTATACACACATACAACAGGATAGAAGCCAAAATGACATATATCAGAGGTCCGGTTCAAGGTACCGTACTGTTCATGTACAGTACACGTAAACTTCACCTTTTAATGTCTCCATGAACGTAATGTAACTCCCAAACCGCAATATAAATCATTCATAAATTCAAATCACTCAAATATTCGAAAAAATATATATAGACATTTAGTCAAATTGGTTCACACGTAGGCCACTATTCATTTAAAATGTCATGGTACAACAATGTTATGCTACTGGAGTGGTAATACCTATTATGAGTTATTTTTATACAAGTGGAAGATTAAAGGGGGCTAGAACATCTTCTTTCTCTTGATACTTAAACACGATTTATTTATGCTTAAACCAAACACTTTTTAATCACACTTAAACGAAATGTTGATAGCTCAGTTGAATTACTAGTTTGTATAAAACGTCACTTTTGTATAAATTAAAAGTACAGACAGCCATAGGCTAGATCATTATTTTTTAATGGAAAATTTATTCAAAATATGACAACAGCGACATAATCATGATGGATTTACAAAAATACTTTCTACCATGTTATTGGTTTTATACTATAACTGTTAACACACGAAGTTAGCGTATGAAGCTGGCACTAATAGTAATGTACTTTAACTTCATGGATAAATAATTTAAATATAATACATTTACGAATGTTGTTTTGTAACAGTAACTAACTTGGAGCAACGCAGTAGCATGTTTTCAAACAAACATTACGTATCTTTGATCTGTTACTCTTAGACATAATGGCAGACGATAGGCATATGCATAGCTTTTGTAATCAAGTTTTTCGCACCCGAGTTAATCCCGTATTTAACCATCATGCAGCTAATTAGATTCTACATCGACCTACGATTTATCCCTTTTGATTATGGTTAGATATCAACATTGAATGGATACTAGTAGGCATAAAAAAAGAAACAAAACAAAACAAAACAAAAACTGCAGGTTATAGTGCCAATCAAACAAGTTAACAACTGACCAATCAGAACATCGCTAAATTACGCGCCTGTCCCACAAATTCACAAACCTTAGCAACAATAAGGGGCGAGGCTGAGCGGAAGGTTCATTGAGCCATGAGTGTTACATCATTTTGAAATTTTAAACAAGCTCCCTTCTTTGTTTGATTACAAGGTTTTATTTTAATATCTCATAAATCTTTGATGTTTACCGCCGAATTACTTAGCTATTTCAAACTTTAAATTATAAAAACAACAGTCGTTCTCGCTAACAGCATTCTATTGTTATTATTGACATTCAACCTTTTCGAATGTCGCTTACAGTGTTTGCATGGTCATTAATAATAACCTTATTGTTTCATTCTAATATCACAGCCGTCATAGTCTGCTTTGTGGACAATAAATACAATTAACAACATAACTTAACAAAATTATAACTACTTCCATTATTTACACGAAGTCATTTAAACGAGTACGGCATATCTTGTTTCTTCAATAACTTATTAGGCCTATAATGAATATCAGTTTCTGGGTTATATTATTTCCAATGTATTTATTTATTTTCCTAACATATTTAACATAAACATATTTTTCTTCTCTACACGTTTATATAATATTTAATTTTTTTTGCTGTAGTGTTCGTCGTGACCGAAGGTTCATCTTTGTCAGAAAGGCTGTACTGAGTCGCTATTTAGTCAATTATTAATAGATTTAGGCCTAATCAACAAAATCCAAATATATCTAACTGACTTATTTATGAGCTTTTTAACTGCATAATTCAATAAAATAAAAAATCGTAATAGAAAAAAACTGAATTTACAAATACAACTAGCTGAATTTTGTTATCATTTCCAGAGTTTAGCACACCATACTCTTTGATTAGAACTTTTAAACTAAATTATAAGTTGGCTCCATAACATACAACCAATCGCGGGTACACTGAATACAAATTTATAAACAACACTTGAACTGTTTGTTATGCGTTTTTTAAAAACTTTTAAAAACTTATTACTGACACTTATTTGTACGGCGTAACCTAGTAATGTGAACTTCGGGGGCGACTGGGGTCTTAAAATAAGAGTTCATTGGGTGAAACTAGTAAATTATGCCGTCTTAGTTCAACGTTGACCTATCTACCACGATAGTTCGAACTATCTGAAAACAAGTGAGCTTACTAATACCAGAAACATACCACGCGCAACAAGTCTGAGTATGCTAGTAAATTTATATAGAATTTGAACACAACTTACATACTTTACATTAAACACCTGAACTGTTTGTTATGCGTTTTTTAAAAACTTTTAAAAACTTATTACTGACACTTACTTGTACGGCATAACCTAGTATTGTAACTGTAACACGAGACCTGGGATAAGTTAAATTAAACCATTAAATTACCAGAAGAGTGCAGACAATTGACAAAAACAATAATAATTTGACGGTACCACATTTATTGAAATATATGCCTTTTGATCAAAGAGATTAAACCATTCAATATCTACAAAATGTTAACGTCGAATTTATAATCAGAATGTAAACAATTATAGCGGAAATTGGTTTCGGGTGATATGCATAGGCCTATTGGATAAATATACAATGCCATGTTAGGATAATTTTAAAGTCCCAGCGAAAATAATTATCACAATACAACAATATTGATTTCACACTCTATACGATAAGCCGATACAGCACTAGTATTCGACGCACACAGCTATACATAGGTTGATACACACCCTTCATAAGCATCTTAAACGACAAGACGGGATCTTCAAAGAGAGAGTTTTTTGAAAATAAGAAATGTTATAATTAAAAATGGTAGCTTTCACGAAAATGTATAACTTAATTTCACATATTTCAATTTTTCAATACAGGCATAAGCCTACGTACAAAAACAATTTTAAAAGATATCAATATTTAAGTACCACAGGTCTCCCTCAAATTAAAGACGAGACCACTTTTGGGATGCTTTACCAACAGCAGCAGCAGCAGCAGCAGCAGCTTTGGTCTCAAATTTAGAATTACAAAGATAAAAGAAATTTGTGAATTTGGGACCACAGAAAAGTGATCTTTAATTGGAGGTTGTCTTTGAAGGGGTCTTTAGTTAAAAGGAGACCTGTATTTTATAAACCATGAGTGTGGATTTACAAGACAAAAGTTTCGATGTACTTGTTGAAACAAAGTTGTTTGAGCTATCTACTATGAATTCATTCCTTACACTGGTGTGTCTCTTTCTCTCAATTATCATTTTGATGATAAAAATCTGCCTTTGTAAATAACGCGCAACTTCTGTCATATTTGCGACTTGAAATGTTCATTGTAGAAAACCTTTTAGAATCACCAAAACACAAAAATATTACTATTATCATTAATAATGTTCTTGCACCGCGTAGATATTGAATAATTTGTACAGTATTTACATGATTTGCATAATATAGTATAACACTTAGTTTCGTAAGAATGCTTTTCTGGATGATTACTGTATAACACCTTACCGTACTGCTAGAAGAAGAGCCTACTGTCTTAATAACTTCAATCCTTCCTTTTTTAGCACTTGGCTGAATCAAGCTAACATTTAATCCGCAAATGGACCTGACTGCACCAATATGTTTGTGGCAAGAGTGATTAAAACCTGTGGTTATTTGGATCGTTATCATTACCAACAGATCCACTACTTCCAAAACGACTTTTCCTAAAAATCAAATGTTTAAATGCTTTTCTAAACGCTCTGTTCAATAGCGTATAAATGACAGGGTTTACTACACTGTTGCCGTACCCAAGCCACAGAACCAGTGACAGTAACGTCGGTGAGAACTCACATTTTTCACAAAACACCTCCAGAACGTATGTAGTTGCAAATGGAATCCAGCAAAATATAAAAACACCGACAACAACCACAGTTGTTTTCAAAGCCTTCCAATCCCGAGATATTGGAAAGTGTGGTCGGATTGAACCAGTATCTGATGATATCACAGAAAGTGCTCGCCGAACTGTTTTCTTCGGTAAACCGTCTTTGTTATTTTTTTGCAAGTTTACAGCCTTTGAAATATCTATTTGATTAAATACATTAGATATGACGGAAATCGATGGAGATTTGTTCTGTAGTGCAATTTCTGTATTTAATTCGTTTTGACTAATACGTCTTAAACACGAAGGCCTACGAATATTCTCCTGAATACTAATTCGCCTTGCCTGGCGGTGGGCTACTGAAAAGATGCGACAGTAAATAACGACTGATATTGAAATCGGAATGAAAAAGGACGACGCGCTAGAATACAATCTAAATGCCTTATTTTTTGAATAAGAGCATCTTTCAGGGTTCTCAGAGATGTCTGGAAGCAGCTCCCACAAGAGTTGTGTCATTGCAAGAGTAAATGAAAAGATCCAAATGAACATAATAATAAGTCGGCAACGCTTGAATGACATCAGGGACGTGTATTTTAGTGGAGACGTGATTGCCCAGTAACGGTCCAGGCTTACAGCACAGAGACTCAGAGTCGAGGCCGTGCAGCACATAATATCCAGAGAAGACCAGATGTAGCACATCACTATGCCGAGGACCCATCTGCCAATCGCCATAAACGCTAATGCAAATGGTATGATTGCAACACATACGAAAAGATCAGCGAATGCTAGACTGACAATGAACCAGTTAGTGGCAGTCCTGAGTTGGCGATTCTTGCAGACAGCTATGATCACTAAAGTATTTCCTATAATACCAATAATTGCCATTATGGACAGGCAAAAAGTTAAGGCAACTGTATGTGTAAGATCACTGCTAGTTTCAGTAGAAGTCGTAGTTTGAGATTCATTAATACCGCCTGTAACTGGAATACCGGTAGCCTCCATTTGAATTTTCTCCTAGCCCCACCGCATTCATAAAACTACACCTCCATCAGCTGTAAATCCAGGTACTAACTTAATACATCCGAAGTTTAATGCCATATGATGCCCAAATGACTAAAATATTTTTGTCAGAATCAAACTGCTACCTGAGACATGTCCAATCAAATCGATTTTCCTTAGGTTTACCACAAAGTTATGTTAACATTGCATACAATAAATAAGTCTGTTTGCATGTATGCATATCTCCTCATTGTCGATATGGAGTAATCAATCACCAACCAAAAATCAGATTGTTCTCAATCTTCCGTATAATTTAACTTTGCAATTCTAGGGCAGTAGCATCATTCGCATTCGTAAAGCAATTGAATTCGACTGGGAATCAAAAAACGTCTCCTAGGCTTGTTTACTCCGGCGCACATTTCGTTGGTAAAAACAAAATTAAAAACAGCAACCAATCAACCAATTGGGCTACGGTTTAAAATGGACAACCTACTATGTAACCAATATAATCGGACCAACTTTTTTTTTTCCAGCTGCTTGGTTGGTCTAAACATTATACACATAAATCTTAACGCTGTTGCAAGTACTTCGAAATGTCAAAAGTCACGTATGTAACGGGAAGGTTCTTTTAATAACATGATAAACGAGTCACTTGGGACATTTATGGTTTCTGGGGACAGAAAAATACAACAACGCATCTGCAACATTTACAGGTGGATATGATTTTATATCGGCTGTCTTCTTCATAAAGATTACATCAGCCATTCCCAGAAATTACTATATAAGTCGACTGAATCACGGACGTATAATTCCCCCAGTTTTGAATTAACGTTTTTATGTGGTCCGACCAAGATAACTGGAAAACAAAAACAAATAAAGCCTATATCTTACCGCTAAGGGAGCCTATATCATTTTTAAAAATCCAAGAAAACATATGTGAATATTTTACTTAATTTGTTATGCCATTATTAAACATTATCGTTTTATATAGAACACATGATCGTATCCGTGTAATCACAAACTGCTCAGTATGTAGGCTTTCAGAGAGGGGCTCATTTATTAAACATTTCCTACCAATATACTAAAATAGATTCGTAGACTACCGTATCGTATTAAATTTTCTTTGAAAAAAAACCGCTGCATGCCTATATATCGTCTTGAAGTGCCTATATATGGTCATGATGTGATGTCCTTATGACCATATTTAGGCATGTCACATGTATTTGTCAAATAAAATTTGATAGTCTGGACAGGGCTTTGAATCAGAAGAAAAAATGTCTGTGGTAACTGGCTATGCGCAGACTTATTGGTCCACGTTCACTGTAAATGTATTGTGACCAATCGAAATTTGAACAATTCATGACCGTCAACAGTCGTGAAAGAATTAATGATTGCTCAACAAAGTAATGGTTTGACACGTTGGACGAATTCAATTCAATTTCAAAGGAAACGTTAAGACATATGCATTATCAAACCTGTATATATGCAAACAACATACTTCACATCAAACGAATTTTTCAATAAAACACTTATATTTATTGGTGAAATTAGTATTAATATTGAAATAGACGTAGGCCTATGGGGGTACTTTTCAAAATATTAATAAAAGTTAGTGATGTTTTGAAAACGGTAGAAGTACTTTGAGAGAATGAATGACCACATTGGCTGGTGTAAGTTTGCTTATGATTGTTGGCCTTCATTTGTTTTTTTGTTGACGCATCTCAATTTAGATATTACTCGATCTAGCCTAATGAATACGGTAAGTAAACAAATAAATTAATTTTTTTTAAATTATATTAATTAACTAAGACATTCGCATCGTGAGTCAATTAAAACAAGTTTGTGGCGGTATTTCAAAAGCTTTATTTAGCAAAGCTTGACAATGTAACTGGGATTTAAAAAACTAAATTGGGAATTAACAGCCACTCACGGTAGATAAAGTCTCCAATCACTCCGTCCTTGGTATCGTCGATACAGCTTACAAGAAAATTGTAATTTCTGACACTGTCAGTCCATGGCCAGAGTGTTCGTTCCCTAGCAACAAATTAAGCGCACAATAAGAAAATTGAAGACTAAATACAGATGATATATATACTGTGCTTAATAAAATACTGCATTGATATTGTTAGATATTTTGTAATGATATGTTAAACTTAATAGTACAATTTAGTTAGACTTATATCAACCAATTCTGTCTGAATGCTATCGCTTATTGTAATTATATAATTTATATTTTAATGTAGGCCTATACGATTTCGTTACTGAATAATTGTATGACATGTAAAAGTACAGATAGATAGGGTCAGTGCTAAATTACGAACGGAATGGGGAGCGAGATATTTTGGGCGCCCCCCACCCTAATGAGCGCCTTCCAATTCCAATACTGTTTAAAAGGATAACATCTTTACTACGACAATTAGGCAATTTTTTAAATTTAACAATGTCATTGTTTTGGCCCAGCAGTGATTAAAATTATTATTATTTAAGGCAGTTCTCTAATGACGTCTAACGTTGCCAGGTGTACATTTCCAATGATTATCAAGTACGTCTTAATATTAAGACCACGCTCCATAGCATTGCAATTCAAATATGGAATACTTAAAATGTTTTCATAACAGGATAAATGCTGACTAGAAATATTTGACATAGGGTCATGACATATTATAAGCCATATATATGGAGACTACAAATGACCTTACATGCGATACAGTACAACACGAAATTTGATAAGATTTTAATTTAATGCAACAATATAACAGCTCATTTATTTAATTACATTGCATTAACCAATCATTGATCTGACCATGTCTAACACAACTAAAACAATCACAATGAGATTAATGAACATCATTAGAATAAACCGTATACAAAAAACCAATGATAATCCATTCTATTCTTTTTATTCATTAAATCCATACGATTTAGGCCCAAATGATAAGAGAAACAAATGTTAAAACCAGTCTTAGAACATCATTATAATTACTTGGTCCGCCAATGGACAAACATGTATGAGACCGGAGAAAACATGGATTCGTCATTGCATGGTCAGAGCGAGCTTGACCATAGGCATAATTATTTGATTTTTAATTACGACCTTGGTGGATAGAAGCGTTAAATGACTTGGTAACCTCTACATCACTCACGTTGTCCGCACCATAGAGACAACGTAAACGAAATAGAAACAACATTGACTCCCTGATTGAAGTCTACACATTTCACTATTCCAGCGGATATGTAGGCCTAATTTGTGTCTATTCGTGAATATATTCCGGGATCAACGATACGAAAAGACGCGTGTTTGGTGTTGAATAGCTTGCCATCATGATATTTAAGGTAGGTATAAAATAGGATTCTAAGTGTCTAGGGCCTATATAAAAGATATAAACGCTTAGAAAATACCACTATCGTTGAGCAACATTATCCCCATTTCTTAGATTATCACCACATCGTAGGCCTATATAATCGTGTTTTTTTTTTTGTGTTTTTTTTTTTTGGGGGGGGGGGGATGGAGGGATCTTACTCCTTACTGTTCTCCATAGATCTAACTTTTACTTCCATAATTCTACAAACACGGAATATAAATTATGAAGTATAAATTTAAAACACATAGTAATTAACTACTTACTTGAGATCTTCAAAATTGTATCACAGTTCCTTATCTACTGTACTCCTCTTCAATAATAATACCACACTTTCATTTTCAAGTCCAATTGGAAATTTAAACCACAGGACAATGCAGCAATTTTCCACGCTGTGTAACTTCAATAAATCCACTCCACCATTATTGTCACTGTCTCTTATACACATCTAGATGTGTATAAGGGACAAACATGTATGAGACCGGAGAAAACATGGATTCGTCATTGCATGGTCAGAGCGAGCTTGACCATAGGCATAATTATTTGATTTTTAATTACGACCTTGGTGGATAGAAGCGTTAAATGACTTGGTAACCTCTACATCACTCACGTTGTCCGCACCATAGAGACAACGTAAACGAAATAGAAACAACATTGACTCCCTGATTGAAGTCTACACATTTCACTATTCCAGCGGATATGTAGGCCTAATTTGTGTCTATTCGTGAATATATTCCGGGATCAACGATACGAAAAGACGCGTGTTTGGTGTTGAATAGCTTGCCATCATGATATTTAAGGTAGGTATAAAATAGGATTCTAAGTGTCTAGGGCCTATATAAAAGATATAAACGCTTAGGAAATACCACTATCGTTGAGCAACATTATCCCCATTTTTTTGGGGGGGGGGTTGTAATATTCGAATTATTATTTAATGCTTGATAATTTTTTCGATATTCATAATTATTACTGTTCATTATCAACAACGTAATCATAAATATTTTAATTATTATATAAAACAAAATAATTATAATAGTATTATTAATAGGCCTAATTATTATTGTTATTGTTATAATAATCATAATCGAAGGCAAAGTACTGTACCTCATGATTAACACCATAACTGTCATCAACAACATCATCATAATCTAATATATAGTCATCAACTTCTTCATTGTCAGCAACGTCATCATAATCATCCTGATCACAACACCAATATCACCAACATCAACACTTCTTAACTATGATTTTCTTACTGCGTTAGACAACATCTAAGCAATATTTCTTTTGTATTGGTTTGGCACGATTGGTCATGACATCCGTAGGCAGACTGAACAAAAATTGCACTGACAGCGCCTTGTGATCTCTTATTTCTTACATCTCTAGTTGTAAGCAGTGTTTGTATCTTATTATAGGCCGAAAAGCTAAATCATGTCATATTTTGTATAGTGTTCCACAGGGGTAAAGCTGGGCCACCGATTTCCACTGCTATTTTCAAAGGTAATTACCAGTATGTAACTGGAAGTAACGTGTTAGACGTATAATAATATCAGACAAATAATAAGAATGAAGCACTCACGACTAACTTCATTGATAGATTTTTTAAAGTTTTGTCAAAGGCGTTACATATATATTCAATAAGCTTCGACGCATTGCATACAGCTATTTGTAAGTTTTGATACTAAATTGTCAAAGGAAATAGTTGCTAGAACCATACGGATGAGCTGTATTTTTAAAATGAAATCGAATAATCTCCACTTTATGGAACAAACTTAAATCTTATAGATGAGTTTTTCTCATCGAAGGTCTAGTACTATTTTCGACTGAAAATCAGTGACGTTGTAATTTTCTTATTGGTGTTTATGTTGATTAAAGTCTCACAACGAACCTTCATGTTAGTTACTTGTGTCATACCTTTAAGTTTTAGCTGCGTAATCTTGAGTCACCTTAGAATTACGTTATCACTATGCTATAATTGTCGTTCCACTATTTTCTTGTTATCATTTTTGTAATTATTTTTGTCATTCTTTTCACGATCACAAATTACAAGAGTAAATCATCAAGAATTTTGTCATTACAATCATCACAACATTTACATTATTAGGATCAAAAATAGAAAATCCACAATTACTTAGCCATCCATAAAAACGCCAAAATACAGCAACCGATCGAATACAATGTTAAGAGTAATTAGTTGATCTGTTGATATAGCTTAATTACACAGCTGTGGTCTCCGTATGTTCATGGTCACTTGTCCATGTATTAGAAGAAATGAAGACATATCTTAAAGATATGAAAATCGACTGAATATATAGAATATATATAGAAAAAAAACCAATTTGACCCAGAGACAAATATTTAAATATCGTATTTTGACATAAAACACATTAATAGGCTTGGCATAATTGAGGAACTAATTGAGCAATGTCTGACTATTTTTTATTTTTTTTGAAAATATGAAAATTGTACTTAATCTTGTTATTGAGTAATACTTAATGACATATATTATGACAATGGCAGTAGTTATGTAATAAAATATGTATTAAAATGGATATTATATAAATCATAAGGCCTAAAATCACTATAAACATTTCCTGGTCTTCATCTCATTGCGCGGCTCCATGTAGAGTTTAAACTTAGTATAAAATAATCTCATGGTTTGGTCAGGGAAATGTGGTTTTGTTCGTTGGCCTACATCTAACATTTAACTTTCTTAAATCGGGTATCAACCACTGGAAATTACATGTTATTAAACCTCTATAAATTAAAGATTCACGAATCCACACAGCTGGCGAAAGCCATATGAACAATATAAAAACAAGAGATTTAAAAAATATTATTGACTTAAAGAAAAGAGAGATATTGTCGGAAAATGGCGCCACCAATGTTTATTGACTTTAATCAAAGAATATCATAGAGCTATTATTATGAAGAATATAGATAGCTTTTAGTCAAGAGGGGGCGTCATAGTGCCGATAAGGTTGGTAAAGACTGGTTTAGTATAATATGGACACTAGTGAAGAGCAAATACCTGTATGACAAACACTGTCAGATTGGACAAATTTAAGCGTAACAGAGGGTCGTAAACAGTATTTGTACAACCGCTTTAACGTACGTAATACTCTCTTAATGAATAAATCAGGGCAACAATGACTCAATCATCTCGTCATGATAGTGCTTTGAAGTATCTCTTAACATCCCCTTACGAGACCATATAATCCTAACACAATCAAACATAATCGCTATCGTGAGTTATACAAGGTTAAATAGAGTCATTTAATGTGACTCCATTAAACAAGGCCTGACGATGTTACGGTTTGGATGGATAAGAAAACGTTTTAAAACAGAGACACGATCATAACATGATGGATTATGTACAAAAGTATACATCGTAGCCTATTGTTGCAATAATAAAATCAAATAAACTTAAATTACATTCGATATCAATTACATAAGCATTTAGGGGTTATTTTTAATATTAATCGCCGCCAAAAATACAAAAGTGAAACAACGAACACTTACAAACAAACCGAACGTACTTTTACAAACAAACAACGTATTTTCACAGACAAGCAACTTACTATTTTTCAAACAAACAAGTACTCTCACAAACGATCGTGTTTCACAAACGAACAACGAACGTACTTTCATGAACAATGTGCTTTCACAATCAAACAACTTGTGAAACGAACAATGCCAAAATATCTATGTTTATTCAATTTCTATTCAAAAGTCTTTGAAACGAATTCAATAATAATAGCTCATATTACCATAGGCTCGTGTGATGATGAGGAAATTAATAAATGATAATAATAATATTATATTAATAGTATTGCTATTATTATGGTAACAAGGCAATATAAATGCTAGAAGACTGTACAGAGCCGTAACTAAAGTTGCATTCACATCGGATCCGAACCAAAATGTGAATGCGCTGAACGCCAGGGTCCCTATTCTTACACCCTGGTTATACTTTCCTGATCGGTTCGGTATAGGCTTTCCGAACCGAAAATTCGGGTTTGGCGTGAATGCACCTTTAGGTTACAGATAGAGTTGTAAGTCTGTTCCTAACTATAAAATAGTTTAGTTATTGAAACATTGGAACTTTCCACGAGGTTTCAGGTTGTATACTCCTTGATGAAATATGTCCGTCGAGAATTTATTGTTGCAGAAACGGTAACCTTGCTCTCAGCACGAAACAATTTTCATGCAGAAGCTGCTTCAATTAATGTCCTCAACACTTTAGCCATGCTAATTACATCCAGTTAAAAAAATGTCGGTTCACGTTAACACGCGCTCTAGCTTTGATTTGAAAAAAAATCTAATGATTTTGATATTATATTTATCATCTGCAGTTTGTAATATACTAATTACAGAAAAAAATCATCATCCAATGTATAATTACAATATAAGAAATTGCCATTTGACTTTTTTGTCGTTTGCATAGACTGAAATAATGTAAATAAAATATTGCGATCAACATATTTGATATTGTTGAATCTTTGCTTGGTAAAGTAACACAATATATGCTTGAGGCACATCACGTGAAAGAACTGCTCTTTGATGAAAGTGTCTCGATGTTTCGATTGAGTTGCTTCAATCTTCATCGACAATTAAAGCAACTCACCAAAGATACTAGAAATACAAGATAGAGTTCTCCACACAAAAAAAGTGTTCCACCGAAATGAATGGTGGGAATACGAAAGATGGGACGCCCCTACAGCTGGATCTAAAAAAACTTGTGCCAACTTTCGTTACCAAGTCGTCGCGTATTTTATTATCAATTCTCAACAAAGATACTAGATATAAAAACAAACTGAAATAGACACCCAGACAGTGACATCGGTGAATACATAACCTCCTTGGTGGCGGTAGAAATCGTTGCTATTATCCAAATAATACACAAAACAATTAAAGCATAATCATGAATCAGTAAAGAATAAAACAACAATACAGCTGCAGAATCGCATGGCCGGACGCACTCTTAGTGAAAAAGTTTTCCTCCATTAGTGGAAAAGGAAGGGCGCCTTTTGCGTCTGGATATACTTAGCAACAGAAGGGCGCCCTGTACGTTGGGCACGAAGATAGGAAACTTGCATGGTTAAAAAGAAGGGCGCCGCCTACGTTGGGCACGACTTCCGCCTCATTTTTACAATGCGAGAACTCTATCTTGTATTTCTAGTATCTTTGAACTCACTGAAAATGTCAAAGCAAATGAAGGTAGAAGTAGAAGGCAGATAGTAGCGAGGAGATAATTGACACTAACAAAGGAGTCACGCAAAACTGATAGAAAGAAGCCCTCTTAAATAATACAAAATAATAATAGGCTATATGACTACTGTATATAAGGATTAAAGAGCGGAGATATGTAAAGACTACACCTCCACTCCACCATTATTGTCATAATATTTTTATATCACGTTATTATAATACAATAACCATAATTTTTATTTATATTATTATTTTTAACACCTCCAATGCCACCGTGAAGGCCGTCATAGTAACACACAGGCTACATAACTTTAATTCTTATCAAAATTAGAATCAAATTAAATCCTATACGAAGTCGACGTTACCAGACTGCACGGAACTAGCTTTAATTCAACATAGGGGTTATGCCGATAAACGTGACATTGGGCTGGATGGGATACATTTTTTAAGTACATTACATTTAATTGGACATGTTGATTAATTATTTTCTGTATGTATTCATTGAATAGGTTTCTCCGAGGTCATCAATGAAGATGTTGCCGTCACAAGTTCATATCAGCAATAGTCATCTAATTTGAAATAAAGGACCATGTGAGGTCACTCCACTAATTATCAAACCCCTTCAGACAATATGAAAAAAAAAAATCATCTGGGGTTGTTCATTAAAACGATTTTCAACTCATCAAGTCGACAATTTCTCTGAAACGCAGTGAACCCACAAGACCGACAGCTAAATTCGATTAGCCAATAGAAAACGTTGCATTTATGCATCGAATTCTATCCAACGTCATATTTACATCGGATAAATACCGTAAACGGTCTATGCTTGAAGTTAAGACATTGCATTTGAGGATATTTGTGTTTGATTCGTTCTATGGAATAATAGACCCAGATTGAAAGACTTTGTACCCATAGCACAGTGAAAGTGTGTAACAATGACCGTACAAGATCTAAATGTCACGACTAAGTCGCAACCCGACAGGTGGATCTTTGAGACTTACAAAGTGGGACTAATATCACTAACACTATCGGTTATCATTATTTGTACAATTGTCGGTAATATTCTTGTAATTGTGTCCATTATTACGCAGCGAGCATTGCAGACGGTTCAAAACTATTTTATCGTTTCACTTGCTGCTGCAGATTTGACGGTTGCCGTGTTTGTGCTTCCCATATGTGTATATTACTATTTGATCGGCTACTGGTCGATGAGCTTCATAGCTTGCGATCTATGGCGGACGTTAGATGTCTGCTTATGTACAGCATCTATCTTAAACATCTGTGCAATAGCCCTGGATCGATATTGGGCAATTACCGATTCGATCAATTACGCTGGTAAGCGGACGCGGCCCCGCGTACTGACCGCCATAGCGTTGGTTTGGATTGTGAGCGTCTTGGTGTCTGTACCTCCACTCTTCTGGTTGGATGACCACGAGCGCGACTCTTACGACAACTTGCAAGAAACACAATGTAACCTCTCTGACGAAAAAGTCTACATTGTCTTGTCCGCCATGAGTTCTTTTTTCTTACCGTTCCTTCTAATGGCCGTCGTTTACATGCGTATTTACTGGGCCGCACGACTGAGTCTACGATCTAAAATTACAACGAACAAATTCAGAAAAGACTATGCTGTTGCGCTGAAGGAATGTGAGACAAATTTCACAGTATCAATACGGACGAATTATTCAGGGCTGGGGAGCCCTCGCCAATTTAAACCCAAAAGATCAGAAAAAAGAGAACATTTTCACGCGTCGAAAGGCACTAATTTATCGAAGTCACACGAATTACATTCATTCGAATCATTGGTTGTTTTGGACGAAAAGGAAAGAGCACAGGTCGAAGAGAGTAAACCAGGCAATGTTTGGAGTTTGATAGATAAGCACAAACAACAACAGCATAGGATTAACATGAAGAAGGAGAGGAAAGCGGCTCGGACCCTTGGTGTCATTGTTGGTTGTTTTAGTATTTGCTGGTTCCCCTTCTTCCTAATGTACGTTATCCTTCCTTTTTGTTCAACGTGCTCAGTAAGCCCACAGTTAGTCCAGTTTATCACTTGGGTAGGCTATATAAATAGTATGCTAAACCCAATAATTTATACAATATTTAATCGCGATTTTAGGAACGCTTTTACCAAAATCCTCTTTGGTAGATGTAAGCATAGTAGAGATAGTAGAGATTCAACAAAACAAATTCGATTTAACTGTCATTAAATTAGATTATAAAATATAATATTTATTTAAGCCTAAATAGGTACCGTAGTTGAGTATCAAAATGTATCGACACAACAAGCTATTGTGCTGATAAAATGAAGGCTTGATGTAAACTAAGCCATATGATTAGACCACCGATTCATAATACCTCAATATGTTGATTTAAAATTTGCGATTTAGGCCTGCCATATTAAAGGCGTTTTAGAGTATATGGAGCATATTAACTACTAGACCTATATACGCATGATAAATGATGAAATTACTAAAAATTGAATTGCATTAGCAATAAGTTAAACAAAGTTTACTCAGGGAATGGTATAACATGAAATGTAAACCTCATGAAGTCGTTACGGAATTAACATCAATTCATTTGTCACGCTTTTGTTATACTTCTTGAAGTTCCGTACAAAACACATTGCAGATATAATGTTTAAATTACATACTGTCTTTAAGATCTCGACAATCATCAAACGTTCAAGAAAAAACATTCAATCAATCATTTAAAAGAACAAGATGAATGACAGACTGATAAAAACCACTAATGTGCTATGATAGCCAATGTAAGAGAATGCAAATAATAAAATAACGGTATTTTTCAGCTTGTCTGTTATTTCGCTACAGATTCTCGTTCTAGGCCTAATTTTCAAAGCTAATAGATTACCTTATAAGAGCAATTAACATTATTAAATCTTATTAAAGTGTACCAGTTGAACAACATAGCGATAGTGTATTATATTGTACATTTTGTTTGTTTAATAATTACTAATTTGTAAGATATGTACTTGAAATGTATATGTAAACGGATGTATACGATCTTCCCCTAAGCACCGCCCCATGAATATTGTTTTTATGGTCTCACAACAAAATAGCGTAAACTTACGTAACCACTTGCGTTTGTGGGACACATGCGTGTTTGTGGGACATACGCGTATTCTTAGCGATGTTTTGATTGTTCACTTGTTAAGTTTGATTGATACTCCGGAAAGGTCCATTTTTCTACCATGTTTCTTTGAAACCTAAGATACTGTTTCTCAAAAGCTTACTACAGTACTTAATTTTCTGGACTGGTGGTAGAAGATCTCGTATTTCAATCGGGACTTGGGTTGCATGCACGATTTACCGGTTTAAAATGATTTGTTTCCTTATGTATATTATGTTATATGGCCTACATTAATTATTATTTATTGGACAAATTATTTTTGAAGAGTGGCTGTAATAGGACAACTAAAAATTTAAAATGAATGGATATGTGGTACAAAAATATTAAACTATATTATATACAAATCGATTAAAATAGCAAAATGAAAATGAAATTCATTACATTCGATTATTAATGCGTGAATAATGCATTTATTAACTTACCACAATTAATTATATTCATAGGTTGGATAACAGTCTAAAAGCCAAGTTATAGGTTTTTATTTTTGGGGGAAAAAAAACCACACCAATATGTCTTTAAAGCCCCATTCCCGGCAAAATTTCAGTTTTTAAGAAAAATCTAATTTTTGTATAATGTTATAAAGATTTATAAATGTAATACGGAATTGCTAGTTTAACTGAATTTAGACATTTTTAAGAATGAAAAAAATGTAAAAAAAGACTGAAATTTGATTTTTTTTTTTTGTGTTCCACACAAAAAATAAATACGGATGAATTTTTCATGTTTGATTTTGCGATAGGTCGTGAGTTTGTTAAAAAACTGATTCTGACTGAGATTTTGACACTTAAACAAACATATCTCAGCCTAACCGAACGAGCGCATTTGTGCGAGATGCGAAGTACAAAAAGTATCTCATTAGAGAGGGCGCACTTTATTGACTGTATAAAGTATACATAAAAGCGAGAGTATTCCAGTGGATGCGATCTACAACCTCTGAATTTGCCTAGTAACGATGAATTCGTCGAGAAA